GCAAACTGTTCGAGTACGGCAGCCTGCTGCAGGAGCCACAGCTGAGCAAGGAGCTGAGCAACTACGCCGATATGCTCAGCATTGTCTGGCTGCGTGCGCTGCGCACGGGCAACTGGCAGCACTGGCTGGACGCTTTACGCACCGCCAATGGCTACACTGAGGGCGCTGCTGCTGCTCCTGGTGTCGTTGCCTCCTGCAGAGGACAGTTTGATGTGCGCCTGGGCGTTTCGGGCGTGGCAACGCTGCCCATTGCCGAAAGCTGCAATGCCAGTCGGTCGCTGCTGCTGCTGGACAGCGCAGGCAATGGCATGCCTGTGCCGGCCCACATCTGGGCACATGTTCGAGCGCTGCAGCCAACGGGAACTATAGCCGATGAGTTTGTTGTTGTCGCACACAATTCGCCATACGTAAGCAAGCTCTCGCACCCGCTCTCACTCTCTTAACTCACTCACTCTCTCACTCTCTATCTATCTCTCTCTCTCTAACTGTTCTCTCTTGCTTGCAGTACACTGTAGCGGAGCTCGGCTCGTTCTGTGCGGACATTTGTGCTGAGATACCCTGGCTGCGGGAGAGCCTCTTTGGGCAGCTGCATTTGGTGCCTCAGTACGGCGTCGTCAATTGCTGCCGCATGGATCAGCTGCATAAGCTAGTTGACTTTGCGTTTCCAACGGCAGCGGCAGCGACGCCGACTGCAGCGACGCCGCCGATACCGCAGTCGAGCCCTTGAATATAAACAGCACAGCATCGAAACCGTTAATCGAAATTAAAGCGCACAGCTCACCAATGCCACGCTCGATCCATACTTCGTGCTTTCTGCTGTGTTTAAAAATAGCTTCCCAAAGCTTTGCTTATCTTACATTTACGCATTTGAAAGCTTCTTAGCTGCTAAAATGCTAATTCTAATAGAGCTTTTAAGCGATTTGCATAAGTAGCAAAAACTACTTTTTATATTTACGCTGAAACGAAACGACTTTGAGTGCACTGAAACAAAATGAAGTTCTTATGCATATAATATAATAATTTGTAAATTAATGTTTTTGATAAATAAAACTTGCAGAAATTCTATATCTTTGATATATGTATTAGTAAATATGTACAGTAGAGTACCGGTAATTCGAAATGGCAAGCAGATCAGTTTTTTTTTTTTTCGACTTACACAGTTATTTAAATTATCGAAAATTATTGAGAACGAATTTCTTTCAAGGGGATTAGAATTTTTCGCGTTATCGCGATTTCGAATTATCGAGACTAGGCTGTACATACCTATTATAATCAGGCTGTGCACTAGTTGGGCAAGGCCTTGCATAACATACATACATATATATATGTATATATGTATATATATTACCCTCTATACATCTATAAACCAGCCCAGAGCTCAAGTTTCCAAGAATTGGTTTTAGTTAATCTGAGTCTATAGAAAAATATTAATAGTCGATGAGTTTTCCCACCTTTAGTTAGTCCAACAAGGAATCTGATAGTCAGAAACACTCACAGCTTACAGCTTAATAACCGATTTAGTGCCTTTTATGTTGTTAATCCATTTATAGGACTTGTTAACTTGACGCCCGGCCACTTTACGATAAACATCCTTGAGCCCCAAAAACAACTTAAAATTTAAATAGTTTGGGAGTTGGGGCATTACGAGGCAATTGCCACTTAAAATCTGTCATAAAATAACGTTAAAGCGACTTAACCCTGTTCGCTTTTAACTGGACTACCAGGGCCACTTAAAATGCGAGTGAAATGATTAAATGTGCATATAAAATACGTATCTGGGGCTCGTAATAGCTGTGCACTGATTCCAATTTAGTTCGAGGGTTGTAAAACAACAAGAATAAATTCAACTTGAAAGAGATGTCGATTCCGGAATACCCTAACATAGAGAGAGAGAGAGAGAGAGAACTCAAAGACAGGCAGGTGAATTGAATTGTAGATAAATATAGTAGTAGTATAGTAGATAGATTGATTGATTGTCTCAGCTATAAGTGAATATAACTGTATAACTGTATATTTATAAACGATACATTAATTGAGAGTTACGATATATAAATAAATAGTAAACTGATTAGATAAGTGAACTATCGATTAGTAGATACATAAATTGACGGATTGATAGAATATTTGATTGATGAATAGATGGGAGATATACTTAAATATATATGGATTTGAATATATTGGTACTAGTTACAAATAGTCTTATAAATATGATTGATAAGCAGGGAAGAATTCTGACCGAAAAAAATCTGTTAAGCCTTATCCTAAAGGTATATGATTCATTTGGTATGGGTGGACATTCCAATATCATAATATCGTTGAGTTCGTATATGACATATTAATATTTATATGTATACCCTATAAAGTCATAGCAATGCTAATGATGAAATTATTTCGCTTTTAAAAAAGTCCTTTCATATTTTGCAACGCTTTTTGCAGCTTTGTGTATGGCAATGAATATTAAAATATTTCACTATGCGTGTGTGTGTGTGTGATTGTGTGTGTGTGTGTGTGTGATGTTTTTTTTACTTTTTGTTTGACTCCGTTAAAAAAAAAAACTTTTAATTGGATTGCAACCGTTTTAATACTTTCATAACGGCAAACGGCGCTCCTTTTCGACGCACAAAACTGAAAATCAATTAAAATGTTGCATCGACGGCTCAAATATGCAGATGCAGCATGGCATGGAACGAAGTGGAATGGAACAAAGCAGACCAAACCAAAACACGGCCAGCAACAATGTTTCAACCAATGAAAAGTTTTAGCAAACGAATCAAAGTTTTCAACATTAATTTCAGTTCATTGAAATTTGATCAGGTGGAAAAGGTGTGTCCTGTTTCATTACAGTCCTTCAATGAGTAGTATGTATGTATGGGGGAACCTATATAAATAAAAGCCAGCTAAAGTCTTACAGGCTCACTAGATAGTTCAGTATATTCTCTTGCGCAAAAATAACTCCGGACTAAACAGATAAAGATTTTTGAAAATAAAAAATAACAAAAAAAAACAAGTAAGAAAACTCTAGTCGAGAGTGCTCGACTAGATACTACCCTGAACCCAACAAATAAAAATGCTCATTTAGTATGGCTGAAATTTCAATTTCGATGTATTTAAAAATATAAATAAAATACCAAACTCATTTAATAAAATATAAAAATATTTTGAAACAATTAAAAAAAATTAACATCAGTTGCATCGATCGGGATTCGAACCGCGACTTCTCGATCGAGCGTCATGCAGCTAACACACTAGGCCACCTCACTCCTGCTAGTGGCGCTGGCAAAACTCAAATAGATTCACTGCTGCAGCGCCATCTACCAAAACTAAACGAAACTAACTGCTGATGTGATTCTAAGAATCTGCTAGAATAACCAAACTATTAAAAACGCACATAAAGTATAGTTAAAATTTCAATTTCGGTGTATTTAAAAATATAAATTAAATAGAAAAC